TAAGAAGTAAAGCAGAATAAAAATGGGCATGGAGTTGGATGGTAGACTTTCAGATGTGAAAGAAAATTAATGCACCTTAGTAACTGGTTGGATATAATTGATGATTAGACAGGGTTGAGAACACCCAGTTTTTCTGGCTTGATCAAGTGGACTGGTTGTGATGCTATTAACTGAGATGATAAATCAGAAGTACAAGGCTCAGATGTGGTTGTGCTTGGTTGGTGATTGAGAAAAGTAGAAGAATTCAGTTTTAGATGTGTTGAGTTGAAGGGTGAATGTACAACACGAAGAAGTGGAGAACAGGTACTGCTCTTCAAATACAGTTATGTACCTATGGTGGGAAAGCCTTGTGAGCATGTAGACATGTTTCTGTAGGTTCAGGGGGAGACTTTCAGGACTTTTGTGCATGGGTATCTCCTCAGCTCTGAGCAGCTGGAGATGTCGATTTTTAGGTGGTAGCAAGATAATGAATAAACATGATATGGAGAGCAGCTATCTCCTATAAGAAGAGGCTCACGGCAGATGCAAAGAAACCTGGCTGGAGACTGTAAATGTGGAAGGGCACAGTTCACTCATCTGTGAAATGCCCTTTGGTTGTCTCCAGAAACCAGGAGTCAACAGGGCTTCCCAGAGGCTGGGAGAAGGACTACTATTTCTTTTCACTTCTCAGCAAGAAGTTTCACGTGTTTACACTTAGCAAATCAATACTTTTAAAACATGGTAATCAAAATGCAAAATGATTGTACTACTCACCAGGGAATTGTGATGGGACAAAATTTGAAGTTCTATAGTAAATACCTTCTTGTAATCATATAGCATGTGCTTACCTCTAGGATGGTAGCATAACTACACGTGGACAAAATATGAAAGAATGGATTAATGAAGTTGTTAATGAATGTGGGGCCTGGTATTGGAGTGGGAAAAGGTCATTAACTGGATTTATCCAGTTTGTAAAAATACATGGGATGTGAAGTTGAGGGCATAGAGGATTGTAAGTTTAAGCAATGGATTATGATTTCCAAACTGAAGCCACAAGGAAGTTATATTAGTTCATTTGTGCTACTGTAACAAAATACTACAGACTGGGTATTTTATAATAAAAATTTATTTCTCGCAGCTCTGGAGGCTGGGAAATTCAAGATTGAGGTGCTGGCAAGTTTCTTTCATGTGTCCAAGATGGCACTTTGTTGCATCTTCCAGATGGGATGAAGATTATCCTTACAAGGTAGAAGGGACAGAGGGACAGGAGGACTAAACACTGTGCAAAGCCCCTTTTATGACCTAATCACCACCTCCTAAAGCCTCTCTTTATAATAATGCATTGGAGATTAAATTGCAGCATGGATTTTGGAGGGACACAAACATTCAAACCACAGAGGAGTGAAAAGAGAGAGGAATGGAGGGATTGTAGAAAAGGGAGAGGTTAGTGCTAAATGAGGTGGGAGTCATGAAACAACAGAACAACATATATAATAAAAGGATGGTATAACATTGTTTGACCTCACAACTGGAGTATTTCTGAATGATGACTGGGTATAGACATAGCAGCAGGTGGCTAAAGTGAATTACAGACCAAGGTCCACTGTAGTTCATAGGTCAAATAATAAGACCAATGTTTTGAGATGGTGATTTACATAGACATTGATAACAGCCCACAATAAAAGTGGATCTTTGTATGAAGAATATGCCTCCCCATTTCAAGCTGCCTTAATCTTGCAATTGTTCTAAAATGGGGCAGAGGAGGAAGAAAGGGGACAAAGAACTGAATCCATTTTCTTTATTCCTTACTAACCTATGATTGAAATTTTATAGACAGGAACAGCAAGTTTAAAAATCTTGGTTGACAACACAGATGTGTCTACAGAACATAAAATCACTCCAAAAAGCTCTTCAATCCACTTATCAAGGTAATTTTGTTCTCAGTTTAGTGGCAGGTGAAACAATATTGAACAAAACCACCTCTGCTATATGGTAAACCATTTAATTATAGTGTTCATAGTAGTAAGGCTCTAGTTAAGGGACAGCTTCCAGTACAACCCCAGGGTTTCAGTCATTTTGGTTCTTTAAGTTTTCTATCAGTTGGAGTTTTTAATGCATAGTTTTGCCCAAAGGTTTTGTTTGTGTGGACTGATTCTTGGATGCAAGAGGAAAGCAGCATTAACAGGATTCCTGAGGTTGTGATTAGAAAAGGTCTTGCAACTGGACTGGGTGGCACACGCCTGTGATCTCTGCACTTGGGAGGCTTAGGCAGAAGGATTTTGAATTTGAGGCTGCACTGGGCACATAGGCAGTTTATAGAAAAAAAGGGGCTTTCCAAATGAGAGACTATATCACTACTGTGAAGTAATCTATAAACATGTATCAAGGATGATAGTTGACATTTACTAAGAACTCACTGTATGTCAAAACTGGGCTAAGTACTTTATATCCATTGACTCATTTAATGCTTCAACAATGTATGAGGTAGGTGTTATTACCCCTGACGCCAATATTAAATAAGTAACTTGTCCAATGTCTCACAGCTAGTAAACGGTGGAACTAGGTTCTGTAACTCCAGAACCTACCAGTTTGTTGTTAAATGCACTTGACTTTTGGGAGGAGGAGTGGGAATGAATCCAAGAAGCAATCTTGAAGTTCATTTACACCAATTCCCTTCTTCAGACAGGAAACTGGGGGTCCAGGGCAGTTACATTAGAATCCTGCAGTGTGTGAAACCTGCCGGCCCAAACTCACTACTCCAAGTGACAGATTAAAAACAATTTTTTTTACTGGTACACGTTTTAATACATAATGATTACATTCATTGTGGGGTGTTGGTACATCGTACATGACATTTCTCAATTCTTTCTTTAGCACTCCCCCGCATCTCTCGGACCCACTAATATATATGTATAGTATCAATGTTTGTAGGGCAGTACATGATGATCACATTCCTTGAAGGGACTTGGTACAAGCAAATACCACCCCTCCTTTAATCTCAACCCCCCGCCCCCCCGTCCCTTCCCATGTACCAAAGATCCATCTCGCTGTCTCCTACTGTCTATTCCTTATTTTGCACTTTATTGATATAATGGGGTTCTCATATAAGAGAAACCATGCAATATTTAAGCTTAGTGTCTGATCTACTCGAAGTGGTACAGATTTCAACTCAGAATTATCCCGGGCATGTGCTGGCTGGAGTAAGATTATCTTTTTGCACAAGGGCCCTTTCTTTTCCTAATGCTCTTTACACCTCTGTTTTATCAGCATTACAGATAAAATCATTAAAACAATAAGCAGGGTATTTTTTAGAAAGAGGTAGCGGGTTTTATTTTCTAGTGGAATTTAAATCAGAGTACTGTTGCACAATCCTATGAATATGCTGAAAAACACCAAATTGCTTAAATGGACAAACTGCATAGGATATGAATTATATCTCAATAGAGCTTTTAAAAAAGTGTATGACTTGAAAAAAAATGTTTTTGAGTGATTCCAAATGGACTCCTTGCATATAAGACACTGCCACACAGAAAACTGGGTGATGACCTCTTCACCCACTCATTTCGTATTCTGTCCGCATTTACAAGTGTGTTCTCATGCCAGGCGTAGGGATAACTAAGCACGGGGATTCCTGGCTCTCAAAGCCTCCAGGATGAAAGGTAAGTACAGAGAAATGCTTTTAACTGAAGTTAAACACTTTTTTTTTTTCCTGCACTGAGGGTTTCGATGACTGTATTGCAAATTTCAGTGGTAAAAGTTGATACGACTTTCATTTTTTTTAAAAGGCAACTTTTTTTGGTTTCCTTTAGTAAGATATACACCTAGTATCAAAGCTTCAAGTAATCATTTACCCTTTGCAAGTGGTTTTCCACATACTAAGAGTCAGTAAGCAAGCCTATAATACCAACACTTTGGGAAGTTGGGCAGGAGGGTAAAAATTTGAATCCCACTCCGGTAATTTAGTGAGACCCTGTCTGAAAATTTAAAACACATTAAGGACTGGGGATGTAGTTCAATGTGAAGGCGCTGGGTTCAGTACTCAATACCGCGGGGGGCAGGGGGAAGTTTGCAAAATGAAGTTAATGTTAAAAAAATGGCCCTTTACTTACTAAGACTAGTGCTTGTTAATGGTATCAAGTTTTAACTCCAACCTACGCTGGAGGCCGGAAGCCCGCATGGGCATTCCGCGGGGATGGTGTAAGTGGATTTCATGTCCACTGCCGAGTTCTGTCGCCCTTGGCCATGTCGCAGTGCAGGCCCAGAAGGAGCCTTTCCTGAGCCCTGGGCGCCAAGAGCCAGGCAGGGTGGGAGGACTCGCTGCGGCCAAGGGGAGCCAAGTTCTCCGCAGGGACTGGAGTTCGGAGCCAGCCTGAGCTCTGGGTTCCCGAGGCGCGCGGCCCCGGCCCTGTGAGGCACGGCTGGAGGACAGGACGAGGGTGCTAGTCACGTGCGCCCGGCCGGAGTCTGCAGGAATGCAGCAACTCGCCGGGAAAGTTTCCCTCGGTGGCTGTCGCGGAATCGGCGCGGGCGGGCGCGCAGAGGAAGGAAGAGCCGGGAGGAGGCGGAGCTGGCCCGCTGCTCGGGCGGGCAGTTCTCTCAACTTTAGTTTTGGCGTCTGAGGCGAGTTTCTGTCTCAGTCGGGCGCAGCCGCCGCCGGGGAAAAGAAAGGGAGGAAGGAAGGAACTAGAAAAGGAAATAAAAGAGAAAGGGGGAGGGGACAGGCAGCGGTGAGTCGTCCGGCCTCCGTCCAGAGAGCTGAGGGAAAAGTTCTGAGGCACCGCCGTCCGAGCCTCTCGCCGCCCCTCGCCGCCCCTCGCGAGGCGCAGCCACCAGACGAGTGGAACCGGGACGCGGGCGGGGGCGGAGGCGCCGGGGCGGGGGCTGCGGGGCCGCGGCGCAGCCCCCCGGCCCTGAGCGTGAGCACAGCGCCGCGCCCGCTCCTCGTCTCGCCCGTCGAGCGCGGAGTCCGGGCGGAGCCCTCGCCCGCCTGGCCAGGGGCGCGCGTCGGGGAGGCTCGCGCCATGGATCCCGGGCAGCAGCCGCCGCCTCAGCCGGCGCCCCAGGGCCCGGGGCAGCCGCCCGCGCAGCCCGCTCCGGGCCAGGGCCCACCGTCCGCGCCGGGGCAGCCGGCTCCTCCAGTGTCCCAGGCGGCGCCGCAGGCCCCCCCGGCCGGCCACCAGATTGTGCACGTCCGGGGGGACTCGGAGACCGACCTGGAGGCGCTCTTCAACGCCGTCATGAACCCCAAGACGGCCAACGTGCCCCAGACCGTGCCCATGAGGCTCCGGAAGCTGCCTGACTCCTTCTTTAAGCCGCCGGAGCCCAAATCCCACTCCCGACAGGTAACCGAGTCGCCCCGCGCCGCCCTCCCCGTCCCCTTCCCTCGGGCGGGCCCGGGTCGGGGCGCTGGGGCCGGGGTGGGGGAGCCGCGGCGCCCGCCTCGCTCTCCTCTCGAGTCCAGAGCTGAGATTTGTTTTCCCCCCCGCGCTGGAGTTTCTCTGCGCGGCTGCAGCCCGGGGCGGCCCCCCCCCCCCCCCCGCTTCCTTTCTTTCTTCCCCGGGTTCTTGGAGGTTGGCGGGAGCCGAGGGGGGCGGCGGGGAGGAAGGAAGGGGGTGGGGAGGCGGCCGGCCGCGGGGGGCCGCACAATGGCGCGCTTCCGCGCCCCGCACCTTCGCTCGCCGGCCGGCCGGGGGAGGGGACCTCTGGCATCCGCGTGTGGGTGACTCGCCAGCGGTGGCGGGGTTTGTGAATTGAGCCTTGGCCCCCTTTTCTTACGGGGCCTCCCGGTCCACTTGAATCTCCTGGGGAGTCAAATAATTGTTCTCTTGTTTTGCAGTGTTGATTAGGGGTGGGGGTTGAACCGGTCCATTTAGTTTTCTTGCTCCTTCTCTCCCTCCTCCTCCCCCTCTCGAAAGCATTTATTTTCCTCGCGGGCCAGGCGCTTTCAGAACCCTAGATTTGGGCTTTCCCTGCATAGACTTTCCTGGAAGTTGTTTATGGACTTCTTTCGCCCCTGCCCTTCCTTCTGCCTCGGAACTTGGGCAGAGTTACTCTTATCAAACTGAATAGGTTCCTGTGTTTGCCTCCCAATTGTAGACTGTTATTTACAGTCTGCTGAAATGTTTTTAAATTAGCCACATCTGTACGTTGCGCAGGAACTGAGTTGCGCTTTACTGAACCGAGGTTTTAGCACAAGCCTTTGATAATACACTGCAGGTTGACTCATAGGCCTCGTCCTGCCTAGTTCAACGGTGATTAAAAGTTAGTGTTTGGGAAGCGATGACTAATCCCAGGATCTCCACTGCTCTGTAATTTCTGTTGAGGATATGAACATGGCTGCTTTTCCACATACAGAACGTTCGATTATTTTTGCCAACTTGATTTAACATTGAAGTGAAACTTTATGAAAGTCTTAACATTCCAGTAGGTCCTAGTAGATTTCTTTAGTGTAGGATTTTCTCCCCGCTCGTTTTTTGTTTTGTTTTTTTTGTCGTTGTTGTTGTTTCGGGCTAAAACGGCAGAGGAACTTTGCCCAAAAGTTAATTGGTTTTCCAAATACTGCAATGTAGTTAGCCCACTCGGGCTGTAACTTGAGTGGAAAGAAGAGTTACTGCCCCCACTCCCATTCCCCCTCCTGTTTGCAGGCCTGTTGTATTTTCTCCTGTTACAGAGCTAGGGGGTTGGAACTCAGAAAAGCTCACTTAACCTGATGACAAAAACCTGGGTTAAGGGGAGGAAGGAAAAACTATTTATCTGCTTGCTTAACCACTTCAATTTGTCAGACTTAGGTATGCTTTTTCTCTTACCTCTGGAAGTGGGTTTCTGAACTTATGGCTAAATGTATATTGGCATGTATCCTGCAGACTACACAGCGGTGCTGCTAGTTACTTAATATACTTTGAAAGTATACACGTAGATTGAACTCCCCATCCTGTACTATCTGTAAGCCAAAAATATTGCAGCTGAAAAGTGTACAAATTCTTTCAGTATGTGGGTACGCGAGAATTTATATCCAGCAGTTTAAAAATATATATGGTTTTGTTTATGTTTGACTAAGTGTAGTGCATCTGAAAAAATTTTTTTGTTTGTTTTTGTTTGGAGACTGGATCTGCTGTGTAGTTCAGGCTGGCCCTGAGCTCTGCAGAGATCCTCCTGCCTCAGCTTCCAAGTGCAAGGATTACAGGCATGCACCATTACACCTGGCAACGTGCATCTGAAAATTTAACTTTTATTTCTGCTAATGATTTTCCTAATTCATATTTAATCCCAGCTAAAAAATGTACATGAATTTGCTTTAAGGCATTAAATGATTGCTGATTCCTTTCAGTTTTCCTTGCCTGTGTGAATCTAGGAAATTCTGTTTTGGGTAACTAAACCCTAATTCTAATAAAGGAATTTTAAAAAGCTATTATGAATAGTATGAATCTAGTTTTTAAGTACTGTCCACAGACTGTTGACTGTTAAGATTAATTTTCCTTTTTTTTTTTGGTACCAGGGATTGAACTCGGGATCTTGTTCTTGTGAGGCAGGCGGTGGAACCACTGAGCCCAGCTCTCCTTTTTTTTAAAATCATGACAAACCTATCTTAACAAAAGAGAAAACTGATTCACAGAGGTTATGATACTTGTTAAGTGTTACACTTAGCCCCCTTGGATGGGAAGTTTCTGATACAGATTTTTTTCCTGCCTTTTTTTTTTTTTTGGGTACCGGGGCTCGAACTCGGGACCTTGCAGGCGCCAGAATCACTGAGCTAAATCCCTGGCCCTTTTCCTATTATGTAGTTGTAAATATGTATGTCACTTCTTAAAATCATAATTGTAATTGAACTTACATCTTTTGATTTTTTTCATTCTATTCTTTAGATGACTTTTAAGAATATTTAACAGTTCTGAATCTTTTGAATTCACTAAAAGTTGTATAAATTTCAATGACTGATTTATTGATGGGATTTGTTCATAGTGGAAAAATGACTAGGGCTTGGTCTAAAAAAAAAACTAAAACCTAGTGAAAAAATGGGTAGTAATTCTTTGGGTTATGTTTATACCAGAAGGCTTTTTGTTTTGTTTTGTTTTTTGAGTCAGGGTCTCATTATGTAATTCAGGCTGGCCTCAAATTTGCTGCAGTCCTCCTGCCTCAGCCTCCCAAGTGGTAGAATTACAGGTGTGTGTACGTACCACTGTACTGGTCACCTGAAACATTTTTTTAAAACTTGGAAAAACACTCGTAATACCTTTACCTCTATTTATTTTCATGCTGGGCATTGAACTCATGGCCCTCTTATGTTTAAGCAGGTGCTTTACCGCTGAGCTACACCTCAAGCTCCTGCCTTGACCTTTTAAAACTTAGTTTTCATTTTTTTGAGACAGGGTCTGGCTATGTAGCCCAGGCTGGCCTTAAATTCAAAGCAATCCTGGCTCAGCTTCAGGAATGCTGGGATTATAGGTGTGCACCACCATATCCAGCTACCAGATTTTTGTGTTTTACTTTTTTGTTTTTTGAGGCATGGTCTCACTATATTGCTCAGATGGGCCTTGAACTATGTAGCATAGTCAGTGCTAGGATTACAGGCATGTGTCATCATGCTCGCCTCTAGAAATTAGATTTAAAAATTCTCTGTTTACTATTAGGAACCTTTGTTTCCTTCTATACTATTTGTCTGCAAAAAGCGTGGAAGACGTATCTAGTTTGTAGTAGGTAGAAATTCATTTAAATAGAATGTTCATCAATAAAGTTATCAATGCTGATAGTATATCTTAAAATTACATAATTTAAGGTTTTTAAGACGTAGGGTCTCACTATGTTGCCCCAGTGGCCTTGAACTCCTCGGCTAAACTGATCTCACTTCAGCCTCCCAAGTAACTGGAACTGTATAGGCATTGTGCCGCTGCAGCCGCCATCACCACACCACCATTCCCCCAGTATTTCCTGCTCTTCACTTCCTTTAACATTGCATAATTTAAAAGTATTTATTTAGCCAAGCATGGTAGTACACATCTGTAATCCCACCCCTGTGGGAGGCTGAGGCAGGAGGATCAACAGTTCAAGCCCAGTCCAGATAATTTAGCAGGACCCTATTTTAAAAATAAATAAATGGGTCAGGGGATGATGTTCATTGAGAATGCTTTGGATTCAGTCTCCAGTATCTGGGAACAGGGCATATCTGTTTGAAAACCTGGTGTATATTAAATGTTGAAATTTGCCAGTACTACTTAGATATTTGGTTGCAGTCAAGTTATATTTAAGAAGTTTAGAGGTACTCTCTCCGAAATGTTTTTTCTTTTTCTAAATTTGCATTTTAATCCCACTAGGCCAGTACCGATGCAGGCACTGCAGGAGCCCTGACTCCACAACATGTTCGAGCTCATTCCTCTCCAGCGTCCTTGCAGCTGGGAGCCATTTCTCCTGGGACATTGACCCCCACTGGAGTAGTCTCTGGCCCAGCACCTACACCCGCTGCCCAACATCTTCGCCAGTCTTCTTTTGAGATACCTGATGACGTACCTCTGCCAGCAGGCTGGGAGATGGCCAAGACATCTTCTGGTCAGAGATACTTCTTAAAGTAAGTGAAAATAATTGTGGGAGGTAGTTATCCAAGAACATGCATTGAAAACACACTAAAGTGGCAATATATAGAATACTGTTTGTGTTTGTATTGTACTTAATATTTTTCTCAAACTCCAGTATCTTCCATAATTCTTTTTTTCAGTTTGCTGTCAATCCCAAATACCTGTATTAGTGTGGGTTATATTTTGAAATCTTGATTGAAGCTTAGGTCAGAACCTTTTCTTCATCTTCAGTGGCAGTTGTCTCATTTGAAGTTTGGGCCAAATCTGCTAATTAGCTTAGTGCAACACAGAAGGAATGCCACGAGAATTTTCAAATTCTAAGAATTCTAGAACTGGCCTAGTCATATAAAATATAGATGGTGCTACTTAGGTCTTTTTCTTTTTTTGGAGGTATGTGTTGAACCCAGGGTCTCATGTATGCTAAGTACACATTCTACCACTGAGCTGTATCTCCAGCCCCCATTTATCTTTTAAAATAATATTTTATTGGTAGAGAAGAATTACTGAATAAGTAGGACTTGGAGGAATCTAATGTATAATATTTTAAATTTTGAGGTGATAAGCACATTAGCTTCAGTTTGATGTGATTTATCAATTATTTTCCCCAAATGTGAAGAATATAATTTTTTAGGTTTGATACATGATCACTCAATGATGAATATCTTTCGAGCTATCAGATCTTCCAAACAGAACATTCTTTGGGGAAAGAAGGCTATTGGGTTGTTTTTATTTGCCTTTTTGAATTTAACAAATGACAAAATTACTTTAAGCTGAAAAGACCTAAATACAAATTTATCCCCTCTAATTTTGAAATTATAGGTAAGCTTTTAATTTTATGTGGCTTGTTTGGATCAAGTATATAATATACTGTCTAATAACAGTTAAAGACTGAAATAAAATTCTTTTGAAATACTTAATCAGGTTAAGATAATAAAGTGAAAAATAATCCCTGTTTTGATTCAGATTTGTCAGCGCAATGTACTCTTAAGAGAAATGTTAACATTTATTAGATCAGATAATACCATTAATGACATCTTGTGTGAATCTTCATGTATGTTTCATGAAAACTGTCTTTTGGGGTGGGTTACTACTTTGTGACAAGCCTGTTTAGGAGAGCAAAGGAAGAGGTTTTTGCCTCTTCCTTCAGCTTTTTCCTCTTTTTAAAAATTTCTTTTCTGGTGCTTTGGTATCCATTTCAAAGGGTCAGGTTTCACCCAGAACAATAAAGGGCCCAGAGACTGGAAAGTACACACAAGTCTGGCAAACTCATCTGCATGAGCAAGATCATTTGTTCTCCAGCAGACATCCAAAGTAAATGATTGAAAGAGCTGCTAGCTGTGAGAGATGTGTCTTAAAGGGAAAAGGAGTGGAAACAGACCAGGTTGTTAGGAAGAAAAAGAAAGGCTCTAGTTTCTTGAACCTCTCCCTGCTGGGTCACATGTTAACCGGGGAAGATTTTTTAAACAGCTTAATAGCCTACTTGTCTTCTTTCTTTGGTTGATGCCATGGGAAAAAGTCAGTAACATTCAGGTTCTTTTTGGTCTCTTGCATCTTGTAGATGGCAAAGGCCTATGTTGAGTGACCTTTTTAAAGTTGAAATAAACATTCTGGATTTGCTTTTAAAAGTTTCCAATGGTTCTTCCTTTGAGAAGAGATGTTTTTCTTAAATGTATTGATACCTGGATGGATTAATGAAAGGGGCATATACTTTTCCTCACTCAGCTCACTCCACTCTAAGGGGCCTGTAAAGATACAGTGGGCCAAAGTAGGAATTATGCCATAAGAGGAATGTCATAGGAGTAGGGGGAGCTTTTACCTGGAAAGGTAGCACTGGCAAGAAGACGGTAAGACAGAATTGCTCTTTCAGTATTTTGGAGGTGCCTTCATCTGGAAGTGAGATTAGGCTTATTATGGGATAAACGTGAAGAGTTTTGATCTGTAGAACTTTTTCTTTTTTCATGCTTTTCAAAACAACCCTTTTCCTTAAGAGGTAAATCTTGGTCAGTAAAAGCAGGTGAGGTAGATTTATGGGTATCTATCAGATTCGTGTATACAGAGGGCCTCTGTGAAAGATGGGTGCTGAAGGCTCATAAAATTTCATATTCTTCTAAAGAGTATCTGCTTTATGAATCATGCAATTTGGAGCTGGGTGTGTGCACTGAGGCAGGAGGATTGTCACAAGTTTGAGGCCAGCCTTAACTACATAGACCCTGCCTCACAAAGAAAAAGTATAATTTGGAGAAAGGTTGTCCAATAAAATTAGTGCAGCTTCTCCAGTAGTTAGCTACTTCCATGATACAGGCTATATAATTTTTATAAACAATTTAGTTATTTTTGTGTACTCAACAGATAAATTATGTCTTGACTGTGAGTCAAAGATGGTAATGTAAGCTTTGAGTGAGTGCTATGTTGCTACTGCCAGAGTACATTTTTATCTTTGTTTCTGTTTTAAAATCAGTTCTCTCTGCAACCAATATTTATATATTTTCTCTTATCTGTAAAGATTCTTGCCAGCTAGATGTAGAATGAAAATTTAAAGTAGTGGTATACTTTACACTCATTTCAGCAGTGAAATTTTTTTTTTCCCCTCCTTCCCCTGCCCTCCCTTCAACCCCTCCATCCCTCCCTATGAAATATTTCTTATACATCTTTTTAGATACTTGTTGGAACTAACTTTTAAGTTACAAAGTAATTTATCATTTATTGAGATGTATACTTGACATGAAGAACTCTTGACTATAAAAGGTTTAAACATGCAAAATAATGTAATTTGAGAGAAAACTTAGAAATACTGACTTTGGAAACAACTAATTATTGCCTTGTTACCATAGATGGAGTTTTTGACATCATTTGGTGTGTCTTCCAGCTTGAAGGCAGCATAATTATTGAAGGGTTATAGAATCATTGGTTTTGTTTGTTTGTTTCTTTCTTTCTTTCTGGTACTGAAGATTGAACCCAGGGCCTTTGTACTGAGCTGCATCCCTAGCCACTTTTATTTATTTGGAGACAGTCTTGCTAAATTGCCCAGCCTGGACTTGAGTTTAGGTTCCTCTTGCCTTACCCTCCCAGAGTGCTGGGATTACAGTGAACCACCGCACCCAGCTCATAATTTCATTCATTCATTCATTCTTTTTTTTTTTTTTTTTGGCACTGGGGCACTTGCAAGACAGGTGGCGGAACCACTGAGCTAAATCCCCGGCCTGTCCTTGGTATTTTTAAAGTTCTCCATACATTGATGAGTTCTTTTGGAGAAGACTTGTACCTTATCTTGGCAAGTGATGTGGTTGAAGTATTGAATAAACATTTATCTACAGTATATACTCAAGCTCTGGGAAGATTGATATATATAGAAATTGTTATCTTTGTATACTACGTATAATATCTTTGTTACTAAACTTACTGTTTTGGGGGGGGTTGTTTTTTGTTTTTTGGTTTTTTTGGTTTTTTTGGTTTTGTTTTGAGATAGGATCTTGCTGTATAGTTCAGGCTGGTCTTTAACTCATTAGCCTAGGCTGGCCTCAAACTTAATGGCAGTCCTCCTGCCTTAGCCTCCTGAGTGCTGGGATTATAGGCCTGAGCTACCATATCTGGCTGAATTTACTGTTTGAAATTAATTTCTTCCACATAGTACTCTTTACAACTCAAATTTCTTCCTTCTTCAACTGCCTTACAGTTTTCCTACAGGAAATAGTTCTTCAAGTAGTTGGTCAACAACTTCCTATTTCTTTATAAGCTGTTGAATAGCTTCCTGAATTAGCATTTTATAATATATTTGGTTACAAGGAATGTTACTACTTCTCAGATTTATTTTATTGACTCTGATACCTTGTAACTGTTACCATGTACAAAGAACTTCTGGTATGCAGGACATTATACTTTGCTTTGAAGAAAGTGATCCATTGATTTAACAAGCTTGTAGATTTAGATTATTTTAAGTGTTTTAACAATTTTTTAAATATAGTTTTGTTGCATTTCCATTATCATTTTCTGAATAACTGGCCTTAGTGTTTTTATTCCTTGAAGGCTCACGGTTTCTCGTGGCTGTGATTTGTTTAAGTTTGTTGAGTATCTTGATTCATGGTTTAAAAAAGATATTTTTTCAGAGTTTTTTTTGACATACACCTCAGTCATAAACCAACACTGAATAAAATTGCCTTCTGCTACAGGTTATTTTAGAAATAAATGCTCCATGGCCCTAAGTACAGCGGTATTGTATCTATGAAAGGAAATGGATTAAACTGTTTGTTAGAAATTGATCTTACATTTTCTTCTCAAACACTTATCCAGGGTAAGATCATAGACGCAGTGCATACTACCATAGTAAAAATATACTTTTTTTTTTTGGTACTGGGGATCGAACTAGGGACCTTCATTTGCAAGTCCGGTGGCGGAACCACTGAGCTAAATCCCCCGGCCAAAAATATGCATTTTTAAAAGGAAGAGTTTCATTAAGAATAAGGCTATGCTAGGTTTTTTTTTCTTTTTTGTTGTACCTAGCGTAACCCAAATGATTTCCATTTAAAAAATGAAAAGCTTGTAATTTTGCCATTAAATGTTGGTTAACCTTGAAACACACACAGAACACAAAAGATTTCAAATTGCAGTCACAAAGTATTTCCCTATTTGAGGGGAGGGCTAGTCTCTGCATGTTTGTCTTGCTGTTGAGACTGTGTGGAAAGAGAAGATAAAACTGTGCCCTCGGCTCTGAAAAAATGACTTGCTTATGCTCAGTGGGTGGATATTCTAGGGAAGAGTGACCTGCAGTGCTGCAATGATTTAGGTGGAAAAACTGGAGGAACAGTATATTTACCAGCAGCAGAATTTTAAAAACAGTTGATAGATAATAGATGTGACAGGGTAAATAGAACATAAAGATTAACTTATTCTCTGGGGAAAATAATGAGTACCTATTTCTGATGTGAACTAAAAAAGATACTTAATTAAGGATCTAGACATTTCATCTCATAAACACTGTTGGTCCCAGATTGTAGAC